ACACAAACAACAGAATACAGCTCAACCTTTTCAGTCTGAGGCTTTTCCTCTTTGTTGCTCGTCTTCCTCCTCCTCTTCCTCGGTCTTTCCTCTTCCTCCTCGCTAAGCTCCGCCCCCACAGGTGAGGATGTTGCAGTGGGCGTGGCCTTTGCTGCAGCCCTGACTGACACTGCAGGTGATTTGCCTCCTTTTGCGACTGATGGAGCTGAACACAGAGAAACATGTTGACCAAGGAACCAAACGCTGCCCTCCACAGGCAGAGGCGGGAACTGCAGACGCTACCTTTCAGGCTGGAGGACGAAGGCTTCGGCGCTGCTACAGCCGCCATCATCCACGCAGGTAAAACTCTTCTCCTGGTTACAGACGGAGCGACGTCTCTCAGGTCATCCTCCACGAGTCGAGCCGAGTCTCCCTGCAGGCCACAAAAGAGAAAGCTGCTTCACGATTGGCTGCGTGTTTGTTCCAGCCCGTGATTGGCTGCTCATCTCCGCTGATCCAACTCGTGCTTATTCTTGTGTTTGAACAGTAAATTCAATCTCAAAGATTTAATTTAATTTCTCAGAGCTTAATTTGTTTGTATTCGTCCAAACAAAAATCCTTCAAAGTAGAAAGATTGTTCAAATGTGAAATCTGCAAGTGGATGAAACAAAGTGTTAAAGCTGCAACAGCTCGTCTACTGACCGAAAACCTCACGTTTCAATGATGGTAGCAGTTGATTTCTCAGGTCGTGTGTTTTTCCACCTCACAATCTCATCTCATTTTGGGTAGTAATATAAACAATATTTATTTGTAATGATCTTTTCATTTCAATGAAATCTCAAAGAGCTACATTTAAGATTTAAGAGGATAAAAACAAAACAAACAGGTCAAATAAAATAAAGAAGAAGGGTCATTGTGCATCTTTCTGTACTGTTTTAAATGTTTTATGGTGGTTTTCTGTCTCTTTCTGGTCTGCAAACGTCATCAACACCTTCTGCCCTCATGCAGCTCCACATCATGATGCTGCCACCTCCGTGCTTCACTGTCAGGACCATGCATCCACTGTGGTGGTCCTGGTCAGAGTCACACCAAACATCTGGACTCCATGTGAGCCCAACACATTAAAGTTCAGCAAACCTGTTTCAGACTGCTGCGGGGACAGTCGGCCTCCTCCCTGTTCGATGGAGCTGCTGGCGCCAGAACCTCCTGAGGTGGACTCTGGTTCTGGTCCTGTCCAGCAGCAGGAGGTGCTTCAACATCTGGAGAAACCTGGAGCTCCTCTTCTTCAAACATCTGGCTGTTTCTGCAGGAAACAACATGTAGAACTCTGAAGCTTCTCAAAGTTCGCTTTGCTTCATCTCAGACTTTCCTGTGAGGCCTGAATGCTGCCGCTGGAATGTGACAATGAATTTTACATGAGCTTCAGCTGGTTTGAACAGTGGGAACATTTGTTCGAGTGTCCTCACCGGCCCGTTTGATCTAAACTTCAAACAAGCATCAGGCTAATGCAGAGAACAGCAACTCGGAGATAAAAGATGACCGACCCCGACAAAACCCACATTCTGCCTAATGCTGGCCTTTAATTGGGCCATCAGGTAGCACTGACGCCCACGCGGTGCTGTCTGCAGAGATAAAAGGCAGGACACTAATTAGACGGACGGCCTCGTCCACCTTCATTAAAATATTCATGGAGACGTCGTGAGTGAGACTCATCTCTTGATCTTGATGCACAGCGTTAACATGGAAAGCAGCACATTTGGGGCTGTGAGTACCTGGGAGTGCCCTCCTCTCCGCCCACCGCCACCACCTCGTAGACCAACCGACCCGGCAGCAGGGAGAACAAGTCTCCATGATGGAGGAGGTGCCACGAGTCTTTCTGCAGAGGCCGAGGCTCGTCGCTCAGGGACGACTGAACGAAGCAGGGGTTCAGGTGGATCTGCAGACCAAAGCCACAGGAAGGTAAAAGTCAGAGAGACGGCAGCAGCAGAAGGTTGTGGTGTCACCTAAAGACCAACCGGCTCTACATGTTATCATGACCACTGTGGTCATTTTGTGCCTTAATGCGGCTGTTTTATGTCTAGTTGTGGTCATTTGGTGTCTCTTTATGGTTGTTGCTTTGTTTTGTCTCTTTTTGGTCATTTCATTTTTTGGTTCATCCTCAGACATTCATGGAGCTTCTAGAAACGTCATCAACACCTTCTGCCCTCATGCAGCCCCACATCATGATGCTGCCACCTCCGTGCTTCACTGTCAGGACCATGATCCACTGTGGTGGTCCTGGTCAGGTTCACACCAAACATCTGGACTCCATGTGAGCCCAACACATTGATCTCCATCTGACCAGAGGATGTTCTCCAGCATCCATCAGGCTTCTGTTCATGTTCTCTGGTGAACTTTGATGTGGAAGTTTAGCTGTGAGCAGCAGCCAGGTTTAGTTCTGCTCCTCCGTCCATAGAGGCTGATGTTCTGAAGTGTCCTTCACACTGTGTGAGCTTCACACTAACTCTGGTCTCCATTGATCAGCCCTGTGCCAAGTCTGAAGCAGCTGCCTTTGTCTGGTGTCCACAGCTCCATAGTGACAGTAGTTGACTGTCCGTGGAGTCGTTGTAGGAGGACGACCACTGCAGCCCTGATCAGTGCTGCTGTGGCTCCTTCTGGACCTCCTGGTTCCTGCTCACACTGGGCTGCACTGGGTTCTAGCTGCTCACTGATCTTCTGGATCCTTTTCCATCTTTGTCCAGTCTCTCAGTCAGATGTTTCTCCTCCTCTGTTCAGGTCTTCTCCATGTGGAGCCATGATGCAGACATAGATAGACACAGTCCAGAGGTCCAGAACTGAGAAGGTTCTGCTGCTCTCAGCTCGTTGTAGAACCATGTTCATGCAGGTGGACTGATGGAACCACAGCTTAGTTGCATTGAGAAAAGCAGTGCAGTCACTGAGGTGACTCAGTTCAGAATCATTCCATTGATGTGATGCTGAACAGGAGCAGCTGACCTCCGCTGTTACTGCAGCATCAGTTAAACCTCTGAGGCACCACTTCACTCACTTCTCTTCACGTTCAACATCACAGGTCCTCTCCATCCAAACCATCTCTGGTAAAGACGGCAGCAGACTCGACCGTCGATACCTGAGGATGATTTTCCTTCACGTTGTGACGCCCTGCAGGAAGAAACTGTCAGCGCACGGTTCTGACTGCCAAGACAAACCGGACAGACCTCTAATGAGGCGGGAATGACGGTGAACTCATGGGGGCGCCGCAGAGCCTCTGGCTGATCTGAGAGAAATGATGTGAAGCTGTGTGAGATCAACGGGCTGCGTCATTGATCCCAAATCTGACTGGAAACGGATGAGAAGCTGTGAAACGTTCATTATTCTTCTGAAATGACAATTTGATGCATGAAAGGACCTTTAAGTCAATCAAACAAATGCTGATTAATGTCTTTAACCCCGCTGATAACGATCTGACCTGTCACGTATACTTTAGGACCCGTGGAGACGTCTCATGATTCTCATTTCTGAGCTTTCTCTCCTTCCAGCCGTAAACCTGAAAGCTGCTGCTCAGCTTTGATTCCTGCACATCTAAACAGGAACAGGGTTTCATACATCCTGAAATTCGCAGCAAATTTTCTGGAAACTTTTCTCATAATTTCCCAAAAGATCTGCTGCAGTTCAGCCGTCACTCACAGCAGATTGACTTCAGCACAGTTTGCTGTAAACTACGACGGAAACAGAGCTGCTGTTGTTCTGTTCGAGTTTCAAGCCACAGCCAGAAAGAGAAAGAACTTTCCTCAAACTAACCATCAGCTCCAATGGAAAAGCTCCAGATCAGAGCACAGTCATCACAAACTCAGATACAGACAAAAACACAGGAGAGAAAACCAGCAAAACACACACAAGATGAGAAATGAGCCTGGTGTGAACATTTAAATCTTCTTTTACAGCGAGAAGCGTTTGAAAAGCCGAACGTACCGGTTTGAGCCTCAGCTGTCCGTTCAGGTTCTCCAGCAGCCCGTGGTGTCTGGAAACTCTTTTATCGCTGACCTGAGGCGACACACATGAAGCTCATTTAATTATTCTCACAAATAAACTGATAAACGTGTAAAAAAAATCACATGTTAGGACATAATATTTTAAATGTAAATCTAAACATGTACAAAACTGTTCAACAAGTTTTCTGTGACACACCAGCAGGATCTCAATCACGCTGGAGCCTCAGGAAAGTTTTACTAAACTATAAAATCAGTCAACTCAAATCACAATGTCCCCCAAACTGTACCCTGCACAACCATCCACAGAACCAGACTCCATTCAAAACATCTCCAGTTTTACAGGAGGCTTCATTCAGGTGAAATCCTTATTTTTTTCTGTCAAGGCTTTTATTTTAGTTTTTAGACTAAACCTCATTTAGGTGAAGTGTGTGTGTGTGTGTGTGTGTGTGTGTGTGTGTGTGTGTGAGGTTACTTTTTGCTAAATACAAACTCATGCTGCTCCACATATATCATCAGTACCAGACTTAACTCAGAATTTAGCCATTTCCAGTCCCACACTCAGCGGAACCGTCTGGGTCTGATGTCTGCCAAACAGACTTCTAGTGTTAGACCTGAATTTACTGAGCTCGTGCTCGGCTGCACGTATCTGATCAGTTATTGGCGATCGGTAACAGATTAAGGGAGGGACGCTGCTCTCAGTGAAGTGCACCGCGGTTGCTGCAGGACTCACTCCCAGAAATGGACCGCGGCCCAGAACCGTCTCCCCCGGCGGCAGGTGGACGGGATCCCCGCCGTCCACCGGGACCAGGTCGAAGCCGGACATCAGGTGAGACTGGGGGGCTGCACCCGCCGGACTGGAAGCACTCTGGTTCGGTTCAGGTCGTTCTGGCAACGTCGAGCTGAATCTACCGGTTTAAAATGAGCTTCTCTGTCTTCCCGAAGCCGGAAGTTCTGTTACCCCGGGGACGGGTCCAGGACGAGCCGAGCGGTGGTAAACTGCCCCCTGCCTGCCTGCTGGGGGGCAACAGGTCGGTTTTGTATGAAAGTAAACAGGACAGAAAACAAACACAACTTCTGCTACCACGATTCGACACTTCCGGGATGCAGCGGAGTCTGCGCAGTAGGCTTCATACGGAACTCCGTCCTGAATGCAGCTATTTTTATAAATGTTCTGGTATAATTGCAACTTATTCTGGCTTATTAAATAAATCTAGATGGATTTATAATTAAAGAGAGACTGATCTTACGTTCGGCGTACTTGTAGCACAATGAGTGCTTTATTTTAAGTCACTGTGCATCACTTTGTCTTCGTGGGTCGGTTTAGTCACTTCGCTTGTCTTTCTGCTTGTGGTTTGTTGTTCTCTGTCCGTTTCCGTCAACCAAAGTCCGGATTATTTATATTTTTCTTAAAAAATAAAAAATAAAAAAAACTGAGAATTTCATGCAAAGTTCCACCAAACTGAAGAAGCGCCTCAAATGATTGAGTAAATAGACTGAGTTTTATATTTCATAATTTCAGTCGCGTTTCATATTAAAGATTTGGCACCGGATTGATGCATCAGTGAATGGAATCTATCATGGCCCCGAAAAGGAACATAAAAAGATTAATATTCATACAAAACAGAAATGCAAATATTACAGCAGACTTCTCTGGACGACATTTGTGTTACGCCTTAAAATCTAGATCTGTGTATATTTTATAAAAATTAAAAAAAAAACATAAATAAATAGATAAATAAAACAGAGACAAAATCGATAATTTCCTAAAACGTCGAGCCGAATCGATGAAGGCTTTAAATTAATTCAGAAAATATGTTGTGTTTTGTATTTTATTATTTAATCACGTCTCAACTTTTGGATTTCGCTTTAAATTGGCAGATTATTGCATGGAGTCTGGCCTGGTCTCGATGGGTTTTTTGTTTGTTTTTTTTTAAAACAAAAATGTGAAAAATCCACAGTAGCTTCTGTACGATATGTACGTGATCAAACAACACTTTGAATGTCTCAGTGCAAAAATAAATCAAATACCTGTAATGTAAAGGAAACTTTAATGTATATGTTTTTAAACATTAATTTAACGGTCGTGTGGGCCTTGTGCGCATGTCAGTGAAACCACGTGACGCCGTGTGTGTAAACACAGCCGTTGGGACATTTAAACAGTCAGCTGTCGGGAACCGGAGCGACCAACCGACGGTAAGACGCCGATATTCACACCGCACACTCCGCCGCCTTGTCCTCCAAACCACCGGCGCACATTCACCGTCACACTTTATCCGGTAAAAACTACGCTTGGTGTGAAACCGGAGCGTTTTCCGGCCGCTGCTGCTAGCGAGCTAGCCGAGCCGCTGCTAGCGGGGCGGAGGCGAGCAGAACGTGTTTCATCAAGAGACTCAGATCCAGAAAACACAGTTCAGCGGCTGTTTGTAGGCGAGGAGGAGCCGAAGCGTCTCTTTGTGTCATTCCGTGTATTACTGTGGTCGTTTTGTGCCTCTTTGTAATGATTTTTGTGTTGTTTTTGTCACTTTCTGGTCGTTTTGTGCCTCTTTGTGGTCATTTTGTGTCTGGTTGTTTTTACTGTGCGTCCTTTTCTGGTCAGTTCTGTCTCTTTATGTCTCTTGTCAGTACCTTTCCGTGTCTGTCTGGTCCTTGTGCGTGTCGTTGCTAACAGGTCCCGTGTCTATCAGCTGAAGGAACTGGACCTCTGAAATATTCATAGTATGAGGTTAAAACTTTGCTTCCTGAGATGAAGCCCCTGTAGGTAAACCAGATGTTCCCTGAAGGTTGGCGTTGGCTGCTGAGGCGATACCAGACTGTGTAACGTTTCCTCTGATTCGACTTCCTGTTTTCTCAGCTGCTCCGATATGCAGCATGAACCTTCCAGGTTTCTCCTCCGTGAAGGACGACCCGCCGTGACGCCGGGCGCCGGAAGCCGTCCTCACAACTTTGTGGAGACGCTGCCGACGGAGATGAGCGTGAGGATCTTCAGCGAGCTGGACGCAGAGAGTCTGTGCAGCGCCTCCAGAACCTGCAGACTTTGGCATCACATCATCGAGCAGAGCGAGCAGCTGTGGAGGAGGCAGTGTCTGCTGGTCCGAGCCGTCTGCTGGAGGGAGGTGGACGGAGACCGCAGGGACGGACTGTCCTGGAAGGTAGAGGAGTCACAGCACCTCCACCACTCTGCTGCAGACACACAGCTGTGTAGGACTCCTGTAAGGTCCATGTTCATCATCCAGTCTTTAGTCTCCAACGAGTCCTAGAACGCTGAATGTTCTCTGATGGAACCACTGAAACATGAACCTCTGTCAGAGACGATCCTGCAGTTTGGTTCTTTCATAGATTTATTAAAGCTCTTCTGGAAACACGACTAAACCTGCTGTCTATAAATAAACCTACAGAAACGTTAATATCTGGTTCAACTTCCATGTTCTCCTCAGTCGGGTTCTTCTGGTTCCGTCCACCAGCTTCTGGTCCATCTCTGACTCCTCTGGACAGAACCGCTGCAGTTCAACTAAACTTGTCGTCTTTCTGACTCAGACTTGTTCCTTCATCAGTCCACAGGTTCTGGATGGTTCCAGTCAGGACTTTGGGGAGACCAGTCTAGAACCTTCATTCCAGCCTGATGGAACCATTTCTTCACCACTTTGATGTGTGTTTGGGCTCATTGTCTCGTTGGAACATCCAACTGTGTCCAAGATCAACCTTCTGCTGATGGTTTCAGGTTCTGCTGAACAACCTGGAGGTGATCCTCCTTCTTCATGGTTCCACTGACTTTGTGTAAAGCTCCAGGTCCACTGGCAGCAGAACAGAACCAGACCATGATGCTGCCACCTCCATGCCTGATGGTAGGTTTGGTGTTCTTGGGGTTAAAGGCCTCACCTTCTCTCCTCCAGACATGGTTCTGCTCAGTGTTTGTTCCATCTGACCAGAACTTTCCTCCAGAAGGCCTTTTCTTTGTCCATGTGATCAGTGGAGCTTTAAGGTTCTGCTTCTAGAGGAAGAACTTCCTTCTCCATCAGCCTCTCAGCTCATGTTGATGTCAGACCCTGTGGACACTGACAGCTGTGTTCCAGCAGCTTCTGGTCCATCCAGAGCTGCTTCCTGCTGGTTCCTGGTTGACTCTTGACCATCCTGACCAGTCGTCTCTCAGCAGCAGCTGCTAGTTTGTGTTTCCTTCCTGATGGTGGCAGTAACACAACTGGACCATGAACTTTATGCCGACACACTGATGGTTCTGGATCTGAAGCTGCTCTGAAATGGCTCCAGGTGGCTTTCTGACTGGTTCTAGTCACTGATGTTCTTCTCCAGATCTTTGCTGAGCTCCTCAGACTTTCCCACTGTAGTGTCTGAGTCTAATGAGTGGATCAGATGGTTCTGTTGAAACTGGATCAGAGGAGTCAGCAGCTGGAGTTGATCAGAACCACTCAGGAGACGTTAGGAGGCCATGAAGCTAAGAACATTAGATCAACACCACTTTGTCCATCACTAGAACTGATGGTTCCAGTTGCTGTGTGTACATCTATGATCCAGCTGGTTTCATCATGTTTCCAGAAGACCTTCAATAAGTCTATGAAAGAACCAGAACCAGAACACAGGATTGTATATTTGTGACAAGGGTTCAGAGTTTAGGAGTCACTGGGAACCAGACAGTCATGACAAACATGGACTTTACAAGTGGATGGAAACTGTTTAGACCTGCAGCAGCTTGTCAGAGCAGAGGATGAGTCTGTAGGAGGGCCTCTGAGCCTCTGGAGGGCCTTTAGCTCTGGAAGTGTTCATCGTATGAGCGTAAGGTTTCTCTTAATACACTGAAGTGACTGCAGGTAACGGATCAGCGGGTTGTGGGCGTTCAGGGGAGCCGACTGATGTCTGATGCAGTTTGCTGTGAACCGCCTCCTCCTGCAGGTCACCCTGGTCAGGAACTACAGCCGCAGCTGCCTGAAGAGCGACTGGCTGCGAGGACGGTTCAGCCGGCTGAGGTCGGCCGACGAGCTGAGCGGCAGGACCATGACGCCGCTGGACGCCGAGACGTGGGGAGAGATTCTGCAGGCCGAGCTGGACAGATGATTCTGAGGACACCCCGAGCACTTCTGAGAGATCAGTTTTAACTCTAATATATAATTTTATACTGTGTGTGGCAGGAGCATAAACTCTACCAAGTGTACATAGTTCATTTTTATGAAGAAACACAGGATCGTGCAAGATGAAATGAATGAATGAAATGTTTGATGTAAATGTGGCTGAGATGCAATAAAGCTCCTGTTTGAGGCTCAGCTGCAGTTTTATTGTCAGAATCCTTTCATGCTGTTTCTCTTATTGAGTGTTTTCACATGGAGGGCTGCAGCGAGTCGTTATTAACTGTTAATTAACATTCAGCTGTTCTGAGCATCACTTAGTTTGAGAAATTTCTAATAAAACAGTCTCAGCTGTAGAGTTCAGCTTCTCCAGTGGATGTTTTCTGGTTTCTGTCCTCTGTGACAGAAAACCGATCGTCTGACTGGACCGAACAGGAGGAAACTCTGATCCACATTTTGCACCATTTTCTGGCGTTTTAAGGACGATGGAGGCCTATTGGTCAGCATATGGAACAAACACTGCAGGTTTGTTTTAATGTGGACAGTGTTCACTTTGGGACAGTTTATTTTTCCCAGCATGTAGATAAATGCTTTTTTTCTGTGACTTTGCTACACATTATGAGTAATTAAACAAAACAGGGAACATCAGTAAAATAATCCAACAATTTATTTTTCAATCTTTAATAAACATCATTTCAAATAACAGCAAAGATGTGAGAATTTTTTAAAAACAGAAAGAAAAAAAAAAAAGTAATTCAAGAGTCAAAAGTTGTGAAAGAACTTAGCTCAACTTTAATGACCCACATGGGAAATGGTTTGATCACAGCGCACGGAATCAATAATTCTATGAGAACATACAAAAAATACACAGAAAAGGTTAAAAACAAATAAACAAGAACACAACACAAAGTACAAGTAACGAGAGACACAATAATACCAGCAGAAGAAGAATGGGGGGATTGTGACGTCCTTACAGCTGGTACCGGGGAGCTGGTACCGGCGAGCTGGTTCTGGCTGTGGTGCAGGCGGCTGCTGTTCCCGCAGCGGCCGCTGGGGGCGCAGCTCCTCAGCATCCTCAGCACCGACACCGACACCGACACCTGCTCAGCCCGGACATGGACGACGTCCCGCCGATCATCACCGTGGCCATCGCCCTGCGGATCCAACCCAACGACGGGCCCGTGTTCTTCAAGGTGGACGGAACCCGCTTCGGCCAGAGCCGAACCATCAAGCTGCTCACCGGCTCCAAGTACAGGATCGAGGTGGTGCTGAGGCCCGGTACCGTGGAGGCCACGTAAGGAGCGGATCCGCCAGCTCGCGGCTCTTCGCTGCAGCATTCTGCGCTTTGTGTCGTCTCGGTGCCGCGTCGAGTGTAACCGGGCTCAGGGCGGAGCTGCAGCAGCACCGCAGCGGGGATCCGGTGTCGGTGCTGCCGCTGCGGAGCATCCCGAGCCGCCGCCAGCGTCTCCTCAGCACCGCTGCGTCCGCCGGCCCAGCTCCACGGTCCCGCGTTCGGCTTCAGTGTAAAACATCAGTGATGTGTTCCGTCCTCCTCATCAGGGTCGAACAGAACAACAACCCATAGAGGCCGCTGTCGGAACCAGCCGCTGTCGGAACCAGCCGCTGTGACGTCTCACTTCCTGTTTGCCAAAAACAAAGGCGATTTTGAGGGTCAGGGTTTGATGGGCTGCATATGCGCCAGAAGTCACCAAAATGTGCACAAACGTCACTTGTGGCGAAAAATGGATATTTCAAAAGATTCGGGCAAAATGGCTCCACAGCGCCCCCTAGAACATCCAGCCGAGTCCCGTCGGAAGCTCGTTTCACCTACGGCTACGAAATTCGCTGGGCATGTGTAGCAGGTCGGGACGCACAAAAAAGTCAATTAGTGCCAAGTCCTAAACCCAACAGGACGTCCGCCATTTTGAAACAACTGTGAGCATTACGGCCGATTTTTGCTCATTTTCGGCCTTTTTCAAAACCTCTCTCCTCCTAGCGCTGCGTCGTACACACCTGAATCTGGCCGGCACAAGCGACAGGACGTGGTGATTAAACGTTGTTAAAACGCGCCGCAAAAGTCGACGGCGTGGAAATGGCGGCCCGCCCAATTTGCATAAAAAGCCAATATTTGCATTTTCGCTGTTCTTCCGGCGTTCAGCGGAGTCCCGTCAGACGACCGTTTCACCTACAGCTACGAAATGCGGCGGGCACGTGTAGCACGCCGGGACGCACAAAAAAGTCCGCTAGCGGTTTCCCAACAGGAAGTCCACCATGTTGGAGAAACAGCGGTTTTCCCTCATTTTCAGGCATTCGTTTTGTTTTCGGCACGTGTTTGATACATCACACGACAGGAACGGTACGGAAAAAACGCTGCGTCATCAGAGGCCTCGATAACATCTGGAAAACGTTTTCTGAATGTTACGTTGAGAACATTGTGAAAGCATTCCATAGAAGAGCATTGTGTAATGTGTTCTCCACAACGTCCTGAGAACATTGCAGGTAGAATGTCCCACCTTTGGTCAGTGTTGTAGAGAAATCCCCCGCGGCCTCGATAACATCTGGAAAACGTTTTCTGGATGTTGGTCTGAGAACGTTCCTCCTCGGTCACCGTAGAACATCACCTGTGTTCTGACGTTATGTTAACTTACAGGAACATTACTGGAAACGTTTTTAAAGGGTTCCTTAGACGTTGGATTAGAATGTGTTCCTTCACTACGGTTAGAACTCGTAGGAAACGTTATGCAGCGTTGTGGGAACGTCTGTTTTCAGCGCACTCACGGTTTTTCCTTCGTCCTGCAGCAACATGAACATCGGCGGCATCGTCTTTCCTCTGGAGCAGCAGTCCAGAGACGCCGAGTCGGTGGTTTATCACGGCCTCTACGACACCGAAGGCGTCCCGCACACCAAGAGCGGCGACCGGCAGCCGGTGCAGGTCAGCATCGAGGTGAGACGTGGGCCCAGACACGGTCCAGACACGTGGGGTGTTAGCATCGGGGGCTTTAGACCTTCACTCTCACAGCAGCGTCCTGCTTTACTGTTTCATTTAGAACACTGTAAAAAAAACAAAATCTGTAACATGATGTCTGTGAAGATCCTCAGTCCTCCAGCTCAGGGTTCTTCTGGTAGATTAATGGTAGCAGCTGGACCTGCTTGAGTTCCTTGAAGACGTTCCACCTTCATCCAAGAAGCTTCATCAGCTCTGACTGACTAGTTGGGAGTTCCACATCCTGATATCCTGAAGGAGACATTAACACCTGAGTTTAGGTTTTAATTGGGGGTTTGTTGCTCCTCCCCCTCGTTATGTGGGTCGTTAGTGCTCCCCCTGACACAGTGGGGTTCGTTAGGGTCTCTGTGGCTAGGTGCGGATGTGGCTTCATCTTCCTGGGCAGAGATCTTAGAGATCTTTACCTACCAGTCCTAAGATCTCTCCCCAGGAAGCAGGTAGTGAATTCACACATCTAACGTACGATAACATGAAATCAGACCCGATTCGTTATAATTAGGTGGAGATCCTGTTTCAGCAACAAATGTAAAGTTCTGTGTAAATACATGAAGATAATAATCAGCTAGACGGTAAATCTACGTCTCTAATGTACCATGAATACCTGAGCCCCCTGCCATCCCTGTCCTGAGTGATCCCTCCTGAGCCAGTTTAACTACCATAAACTCATTTAATCTCTCTTCTCCTGGTAGTTGAAGCCCTTGTGTCATCGCTCCCAGCAGGGTCACCACCATGACCCGCTGGATGATGCCTCTTCAGCCACTTTGACCCCTAATGCCCACCCTGACACACCTAAAACAGACACACGATTAGCTGTCACTGAAACAATCTTCAGATTCATTTTTTTCTATGAGTTCTAGTCCCGTCTCTGTTTTAGCTCCAGAACCCTTCTCCATGCATTTGCCCCAGAACCCCTCCAGAGGGTTAAAGACTGACTCGTGTCAGGATCAGAGGGTTAGAGCAGCTGTGCAGGAAGTCTGAAGTTCCAGGTATGAATCCAAACTGTGGTGTTGATGCGGTTTCCCTCCCTGTGCAGTTCAACAAGGCGGGAACGTTCGAGACGGTGTGGCAGGCCAAGTACTACAACTACTACAAGAGGGAGCACTGCCAGTTCGGCAACAAGTTCAGCAACATCGAGTACGAATGCAAACCCAACGAGACGCGAACCCTGATGTGGATCAACAAGGAGGCGTTCAACTGAGCAGCCGCCGCCGCCGCCGCCGGCTTCAGACAGCAGCGCTCGGCGGCTTCACCTCCACAGAAACAAGATGTTTGCTGTTCGGCTTCTTGAAGGTTTCTGCTTTAAAGCTGCTCACTCACCAGCTCCTGCTGAGGATGTCTGAGCCTCTGCAGGCAGAAGACGGAAACAGTTTAAAGGCTTCAGGGTCTAAAAAGTCATCATCTGGTTCCAGTCTTCCTCAGATATTATAATGTAAGAGTCTGAAAGGTTGCAGCTTTAAAGCAGAGCTCCAACAGGTTTCTGAGCTCAGCTGAAGCTCATTTCAAGTCTGTGTGTCGAGTCCAGACCAAAGCTGATCTGAGCTTTTATTATGAAAAGTACAAAAGTAGAGTTTCAATATAAAACCGATTTGGTGAGAACTTATAAAAACCTGGAACAGAAGCAGAGCCAGACCAGCAGCGTGACGGACTACAAGCTTAGTTATTATCAAACATGTCAAATCAGACGAAGGGATTTAAATGTTTGTTTCCTGCTGTTGGTGTGAAACCAGCAGCTCTGATGTCCTCGTGTGTCCTCACTCCTCACTGCAGCAACGCAACACGTGTTTACTCCACTTATTGTTTATTCACTGTTTATTTCACAAAACAGAACTAAACTGGTAGCAACAGTCCAGAAGACATGCTGTCTGCACCTGCTCTGGATGTTCAACCCGACGCTGCCGGCAGTTCAGCTCATTCGTGGCTTCTGTGGCGCCGAGCAGCTCAGAGGTTTTGTTCTTTTTCTAAAATCTGGTTCCAACCAGGTGGATCAGTGGTTAGCACCGTGGCCTCACAGCTAGAAGGTCTCCGGTTGGTGTCCCGGTGAGGACACCCGGGATCTTCCTGCGTGGAGTCTCCATGTTCTCCCCGTGCAGCGTGGGTTCTCTCCGGGTTCTCCGGCTTCCTCCCACAGTCCAGAAACATGCTGAGGTTAATTGGTGATTGTAAATTGTCCGTAGGTGTGAATGTGAGTGTGCTTGGTTGTCTGTCTCTAAGTGTAGCCCTGTGATAGACTGGTTACCTGTCCAGGTGAACCTGCCTTCACCCTGAGTCAGCTGGGATAGGCTCCGCCCCCTAGTGAGGGTTAAGGTGTAGAGATGATGGATGGACGTGCAGAAAAAAGCGGTTTGATGAAATCTGCTGATTCTGAGCTCAGATCCGGTTCTTTTTCCTGATTGAACCGCGTCACACACATGATGCGTTCAGGCACCGTCAGAAAGCTGCAGATCGGAGGATGTTTCTGTTTTGAGGGTTTCTGGCTTATATTTAGGGGCTAATATTGGTCACTGTTCAATAAATAACGTGTTTGAAGCCCAGCTGAGAGGTTTTCTCCTCAAAGCTTCGTTGTGTTTCAGCAAAAACCCCGAACTGGACGCACAGACTTGAAATGTGTTTCAGTGAGTCAGAAGAAGCCTTGACCGGACGAGACCAGGATGGAGGACTTCCTCATCCTGGTCTCTGCTGTGTGTCTTTCACAGGAAAACTCTCATCCCAACACCGACCGCCGCTGACGGACATGTTGTTCTCACGTTCTCAGCAGCACAACTTCTGAGTTTAGTAGCAGAATCGTGTTTTTTTTTTATCAAACCTGAAATCAATGTTCGCTTTCAGTTTGTGTGTCCTTCAGTTCACACTGAACCAACCAGGAAACAGGGACTATTTCCAGCGGCGGAGGAGCCTTGAGGCCTCCGTCTGCTGACGCTCGGTGCTTCGCTGCTGTTCTTCGGTTTCTCCTCCTTTGCATGGCCTCATTCTCTTGTTGCCAAATCCGACCCGTTTGTTCTGTTCTTCACAAAGTGTCTGACCGTTGCTGTTGTTTGGTGCTGAGCTGAGGAGTGTAACGTGTGTTTGTGAATAAACCTGCGTGTAACGAAGCTGTGTTCCTGTGTTCATGCTCACATTAGGACAGGACACGCTGCAGCTCCTCCACCGACCAAGCTCTGGAAACATCACAGGTCTGAAACTTTGATCTGTTTTCAGACACTTTCTATATTTTCACCCTCAAAAAACAAACAAACAAACAAACAAACAAACAGCTGTGAAGCCACGTTACTGGTTCAGTATCTGCAGAAGTAAAACAAGCAGACCAGAATCTGGTGCGTGGAGGGACAAGGGTCCAGTTTTTGACATTCTGACTCGTCAACATGCAGATTTGGGTCCATTTGGACGGGATCAGGTTATCCAGGACAGTGTCGGAGTAATTCAGACCATGTAGAGTTATGCTGATCAGACTGTAGTAGGATGAGGCTTTCTAGTCGTTGCCACGTCCCTGCAGCAGCTCTGAAACACTCACTAAAGCCGCCTAGAGGCCTCTTGCTGCAGACCCAGTGCGGTGTTCTCAGTGACCCTCCTGGTCATAGACGAGCTCTGCTGCTCCGCTGTCCGACCGCCGGTGCTCGGTGCCAGACCCGCCTGAAACACGTCTCTCAGCAGCTGAACACCCTCCGCTGCTCCGCTTGTTTCTACTGTAAAATCAAACGTCGCTGCTGCGGCTGCGCTGCTCGCTGCGAGGCGTGTTCCAGACGAACTGGTGACCAGACTAACTGGTGACATTCAGTCAGCGTGGAAGCGGTTACAGCGGCAGCGTGCATCATAGCTGACTGTGTCTACGCCTGTTCAGAAAACACAAACACCGTTAAACTCTTATAAAATGTTCCTGCTGTCAGCTTTAACACTGGTTCCACTGGTTCCACTGGTTCCACTGGTTCCACTCATCGTTGTTGTTCTGGTGTGAGTCAAGGCTGTTCAGCCTACAAGTAAAACACACGGTCAGAAGGAAGGAAACACCTCTGAGCCGCGGTGGAGGGTGAACCTGGTTCAACAGAACCAGAACCAGCAGAGACCCACAGAGCGCAGGCTGGAGGGTCCAACATGACAGAGAACGTCCAGAACAACTCAAAACGTGTCCAGATGACTGACTAGTGATGCAGGTGGACCACAGGTTTCTCCAACATGACTCACAACAAGGTCCCACAGAGCAAGAGATGACCCAGAATTCTCCTCAAACGCTGTCCAGGAAGTTCAGCAAACCGTCCACAAGGACTCAAGACCTTCTCAGAATCGTCCAAAATTGTGCAAAAACATTCAGAAAATTGATCAAAAATCATTTAAGGTTTGTAAAGAATATTAAAACTTTTGTTAAATCGTTGGTTAAAACAAGTTAAAGTTGATGCAGACTGACTGAATGTGACCCCACTGAGTCCTCCTGAGTCCTGTCTCCTCCTCCATGTGGTTCTGGTTCCTCAGAGCTGCAGAGGAACATGAAGCTCAGTGAAGGAACACGACACGCAGCAGAACTCGCTGCTCCGGGTTCAGAGGGTTGAAGCCGAACACTGGTTCAGATTTTTGAATAATTAATGCGACAGGAGAAGCGGCTCCGCCTCCCGTCGTGGTCCTCAGCGGAGCGATTGGTGCTGAGAGAGGCGTCAGGTGACCTGGTAGGGCTCAGAGCACCGGGAGGTCCGGCGGCACAGCGCTCACCGTCTCTGCTGCAGCTCCACACAGCCATGGCCGGTACCAGCCGCAGACCCGGTGAGTTTGGGCGTGTTGGCGGGAGGACGGTTTCTGAAGGCAGAACAGGTGGGACGGGTCAGGACAGGTAGACGTTACCTGCACGGCTGGCTGTGGAAACTGTGTGTGTCTGTGTGTGAGCTCAGTGGCGCTGATGGGATTAGGAGGCCAGGAAAGAGATTCAGGAAACTCGACCCAGAAAAGAAACGACAGGAAGGCGGCGAAACTGTAAACCGTGTAAAATCTGTAGGAAGTGGATCTGTACAGCGTGGGAGCAAAACACTGCTCCTCCACAGACACACACACCAAAAGAAATGAGCACAAACAAACAACAGCTGTCATTAAGATACACAAAACAACACAAACAGGGAGAAAAGACACAAAGGGACGACAGGATTAGACAGAAGCGCAGCAGACGAGGCAGAAGAAGTCGGAGCATGAGAGCAGCAGAGACAAAAGGGAAAGTGGGAAGCAGACTAGAGAGAGCCGAAACAACCGCCTGAGCAGCTGCTGTGTGTCTGTGTGTGATTTCAGTCGACGCTGATGAGATTAAGCGGCTGGGAAAGAGGTTTAAGAAACTCGACCTGGATAACTCGGGCTCGCTGAGCGTGGACGAGTTCATGTCCTTACCCGAGCTCCAGCAGAACCCCCTCGTGCAGCGAGTCATCGACATATTCGACACCGACGGAAACGGGGAGGTCGACTTCAAAGGTAAACGGCAGCAGCTGACAGGTGACACACCTGCACCACAGTCAGACCAACGGACAGGAAGCAGCGAGTAACACGACGGATTCACATCGTTATTTAGAAAACAGAGCAGCGCATGGATTACTGAACACAAAGACACACAAAGCATTCATGAAGAGAGACAACCGACCACAAAGAGACACAAAGAGACACAAAACCACCACAAATAGACACACAACAAACAAACGTTAGCTTCTTGTCCTTCAGTCTCGTTTGTGATTAAACTTCCTTCGACTTGATTGCATTTTGTGTTTCTGTGTGTTGACAGAGTTCATCGAAGGAGTCGCACAGTTCAGCGTTAAAGGCGACAAGCAGCAGAAGCTACGCTGTAAGAGTCTGATCGTCACTGAGCAGCTGCTGCTGACCTGTAAACACTCCACCTGTCCACAAGGGGGCAGCTGCTGCACGACTCGCTGCTTTTGCTTACCAACCTGAAAACACAGACTCTTTATCGGGCTGCAAAAGCACTAGAATCCCTCAGCGAGCACTTTATTTTGAAATCCGTCCAGTGTGTCAGCAGTTTGGCCGTAAAACCCACTTTGCCTTTTGAGTCCATATGTATCGCTGAGCAGCACCGTGGCCTCACAGCTAGCAGGTCGCTGGTTGGTGTCCCGGTGAGGACACCCGGGATCTTTCTGCGTGGAGTCTCCATGTTCTCCCCGTGCAGCGTGGGTTCTCTCCGGGTTCTCCGGCTTCCTCCCACAGTCCAGAAACATGCTGAGGTTAATTGGTGATTGTAAATTGTCCGTAGGTGTGAATGTGAGTGTGCTTGGTTGTCTGTCTCTAAGTGTAGCCCTGTGATAGACTGGTTACCTGTCCAGGTGAACCTGCCTTCACCCTGAGTCAGCTGGGATAGGCTCCGCCCCCCATGACCCTGGTGAGGATTAAGCGGTGTGTAGATGATGGATGGATGTATCGCTGAGCTCAGCGTGGTTCAGTGTTCTGCAGGGAATCAACGCTCATGAAGCTCGTCTGCAGGATTCAGTTCCCATTTCAGCCGTTCGTCTCTCTGAGGTTATTCTCTAACGACCACTGAAGCGTTTCAGTTTAAACTGAAACCAAAAGCAAACTGCAGTGTGTTTGGACAAAATGATGGGGAATGGAGGCTTTGGTGCACATCTTCATTTGGATTGTCAGTTAGCAGATTAGTCAGCTATTCTATTCATCAAATAGCCAGTCTGAATGAATGAAAACAGTCTGACGTCTCTGATTTCAGCCTCCTCAGTGTGAATGTTTTCTTTCCTCTGTGAAGGTAAACTGAAGATCTGTGGACTGAACAGGACACTGGAGGAAACTCGGATCCACATTTTCAGACATTTTACAGACAAAACAGCTGATCGATGAATGCAGAAGATGACAAAAGTGTTCCTTAGTTTGTGTTTTAACTTCTTAAATGTTGTGCCTGACAAATACACCCCCTCTGCTGGTCCAGAGTTCACACCGTTTGTCGCTGCAACAGACAGTCAGCACGGAGGTTCAGGAGCTCCGTTTTGTTTGTAACAGAATCAGATTAGAGACTTTA